TGTAATTTGATTAGAGATCATGTTAGGTCGAATCTCGATACTTTGAGTTGTTTGACGGGATATCCGATTACTGGTAACAGTTATGCTTACTTTATGTCTCTATTCTTGTATTGCAAATACGTGACTCGTAATTCGATAAGTTTCTCCTGTTCTTGTGGATTGGGCCAAACGCCTCAGCATTATATTTGAGATGCATCTATGGTTCGCGCTGGTCGACCCTCGGCAGTGTACACACTATTCTGGATCGGACCGTATGACCTCGGCATAACTCATGCGTAATACCACTAGGAGTCCGAATATTTATGAGATTTTCCTTTTGATTGAGATCTTGCAGTTACATGTTATGCTTTATTTGTTTAAGATAGCATTTGATATTCCTTAACCATTTGAGGTTGTCTATGATTTCTTCTATTTGTTGAGATAGTACAGGAAATTTGAGAAATTTATGTTGTCATCAGGTTGGAGGGTTATGTTAGTTACAAATCTTATCCCATTATTACTGTTGTGTTTTACATCTGTTTATAATTTATTATATTAATTTATTAGACCACTAGTAATTGTCGATATTGATCCCTCGTTACTATTTCTGTGGGGTTAGGTTAGATACTTACTAGGCACACGTTGATTTACGCACTCATGCTACACTTCTGCACTTATTGTGCATGTATGTTTCTGATGGTCATTTGGGCGCGTAGGCGCAGTTGCCGAGGGGACTTTATGGTGAGCTGTATTTCATGTTATGATTTGCAACACACAGAGTCTCCATCATATTTATTTAATTTATCATGTCTATCTCATATTCCAGACAAAGGTTGTATTATTATTGTACTTTCTAGTAGACGCTCAAGCACTTGTGAGACCGTGTTTTGGGATATTCTAGTAATTATTTGTGATTTTGCTTAACACTGTCACACTTTTATTTTATATTTTACCAAATTGTATGCACCATGAATATTTTACATATATTTATTTATTTAATAAAAATTCATGATTTCGAAAGCAATAGAATGAATAATTAAGTTGATAGTTCACCGTTGGCTTGCCTAACAGCGATGTTGGGAGCCATCAAGACCTATAGTGGGAATTGAGCCGTGACACAAAACTTGCGGACAAGTCCAAAATCATTATACAATCCTTTTGAAATTTTTAAATCATGAATTCGAGCTCGTTAAGTCCACTATTTGACCGTAGTCTACTCATTTTCTCAAACTTAACTAGTATGCAACTTAAGTATTAGAATCACTCTTAAGTATTCGGGATCACGACCAAATTTCATACACAAGTCCCAATCAAATAAATGAACCTATCAAAGGCCCCGAAATACCTCCTGGTGACCGATAACACCGAAGTACACTCCAAGTCAAATTTAGGAAATTCAAAAAACTTTCAAAATATAAACTTCCGACAATGAGCACCAAATCGCTCCCGAACCACCCAATACTCAACTAGACTTATACCCCTTAGTCCGAAATTACCTTACGAACCTATAGGAACCTTCAAATTCCGATTCCGAGGTCGTTTACTCAAAAGTCAAACCCTGGTCAATCTTTCTAACTTAAATCTTCCGAATTGAGAATTATTCTTGCAAATCAACTTCGAACTTCCCGAAAATCAAAACAGACTGCACGTGCAAGTCATAATACATGTAGTGAATCTGATCAAGGTCTAAAATCGCCGAACGACATGCTAAATCTCAAAACAACCGTCCGAGTCGTTACAAGAAAGCAGAGTATAAACTGCATTATTACAACCCTAGTACCTAAGGTCTCAAGCCCCATATCCTTTAGAGAGTTTCAGCCTATTGCATGTTGTACTGCACTTTACATTGATTATCAAGATCATCACAGCAAGGCTGAAGATAGTGGTGGACTATCTAGTAGGCCCCTCCTAGATGGCTTTCATTGAAGGCAGGACTATATTTGATAATATTATAATTGCCTATGAATTGGTATAAGTCTACACACAGAAGGGGGTGTCTCCAAGATGTCTGATTAAGTAGACATTAGAAAAGCTTATAACTCAGTTAATTGGTCGTTAATGAGAAGGGTGTTGCTGTAATTTGGCTTACCTCTCAAATTTATTCACTTAATAATGAAGTGTGTGACTACTGTCTGTTATTCTCTACTGCTTAATAGAGGGTTTTCTGCTAATTCCCGGGCAAGAAGAGGCTTCGACAAGGAGATGTTTTCTCTTTATTTCTCTTTCCAGGCCATGTAGTACTTGAATAGAGCTTTGAAGACACTAAATATAAGCCGGATTTTAACTACCACCCAACGTGAGCTAGGAAGAACTCAGCACACATTTGCTTTGCTGATGATTTAATCTTGTGTTCTAGGGCAAATAAGGTCTCAATACAATTGTAGCTGGAAAGATTTAACTACTTTTCTGATGTGTCTGGTCTTAAAGCCAACATGGAAAAGAGTTCTTTATATATAGATTGAGTTACACAGGAGTTGAAGGACCTACTACGTGCTGAATTGCAATTTACATTAGGGGATATTCCCTTCAACTATCTAGGAGTACAGTTGTTGTCCCCGAAGTTCACTGTCAGCGGTGCATGACATTGGTAGAAAGGATTACTGCAAGAATCAGGTGCTGGACCATTAAATTTCTTTCTTACATTTGATCAAGAGTATCATCTTCCAAATGCAGGGCACACGTATTCTTTCTAACAAAGAAGATCATAACTCTGGTTATCACTACTTATAGGACTCTTTTCTATGGACGGGTAGCAACGAGTTAGCGATTTTGTACATATCTATACTTGGTTAAATAAAAAAATTGCTTCTTTAACAATAATAATACTAATAATAATAACAATTCAAAAATATTTAATAGGTATGATAGAGAAATTTTCACAAACCACTATTGTTTAGTGGTTATTAACTTGTTATAGCTATCATTTACTAGATTACTTCCTGTAGCTATGTTTTTACCCTGCTATAAAGTGTATTCGATGTATTTAAGCTACATGGGAGTCCAGCTAAGCAGAGATTGTATTTGACTGTATTCGCGAACTGTATTCGTGAATACAGTAATGTAAATCTGCGAAAAAAGGGTCCTTTCAGCTGTTTAAAAACGATAAGTGAATCAATTAACGCGATAGACTCCTAATATAACTCAACTAACTCAATTATAACATCCATAATTTGTATTTTCAGTTATAGAAAAGATTCCCAGCCGAAAAATACCCCAAAACAGAGCAATCTCTAGAGATTCAATCCTTCCTCTCTTTGTTGCTATGAATAATATATGAATAATACATATTGATTTATTGGTGTATTAGATTATTGCGTGATGAATTTTTTTAGTACAGTTAGTAAAAATATTTTTTAGTAAACTGATGAATACATACTGCATTTATATATTGAATACATATGAATGCATACAGGTGCAGTTATATCTGAATACATATATACAATCTGTTGAATACATATGAATACAAACTGCATTATATGTACACTACAATCTGCTAAATACATATGAATACATAATGCTTAATATATAGTGGAATATATATGAATACATTATGTAGATACATAAGAATACATTATGTAGATATATTTGAATACATATGAATACAAACTGCAGTACATATGCAGTACAATCTGCTGAATAGATATTGATTTATTCGATGTGTCATTGCGTATTTTTGTTCTCTTTTCCGCGACTGTATTTACTGTTGAACCTGCAAATACATGTTACGCTTTAGTGATTTGCAAATCGAAAGATGACCCTTCGAAATTGAGTGCTTTGGTCGGTATACCGCGGATAACCCTCTTGTAAGGAGTTGAATCAACCATTATTGAAGAAATTCTGAGTTTTCTGTAAAAGCATAACAATGGTGATTATTTCTAAAAAAATAGTATAGAGATACAGAAGAATACAGGTGCCAGCGAAAATCTAACAAGTTTAACACTTACCACAACTTTTTTGAGCAATCAATTTTGAAAATTGAGAGAGAGAATGGAGATGAATCAATTGATAATGGTGGTTGTATTCGTGGGGAAGATACTGGGTTGGGAGAGAGATAATGGAAAGAGATCGTGGGTTTAGCAAAATTATATACAATACTATTGTGAGAGAAAGAATAGAAAGTAGGAGAGAGAAAAATATTTCACAAAGTATTTAATGGCTTACGTGTAAGAAGTTACCATAAATATATAATTTGTTATAAAACATAAAAGGTAGCTATAGAAAATAATTTTTTAAAAAGTTATTTGTATATAATAAATAAGGTGTAAAGATTTATTATAGGAGGTAAAATTTTCTATAAAAAATTTATAATCAAAAAATAATTCGTTAACTCTCAAAAAACCCGGAAAGTACCATTTTTTTGGGACGAACGGAGGATAACTTTATAAAGTGGATATGTTGCAATTGCCTCGTATTTAGTTTACTAAAACTACAGTTAAGCCCTTTTCTACCCGAGAGAAATCAAAAGATAACATTGAGGGATTCTGAGCATAAAATCCAATATCTTTTTCTCCTTTTAGTGTTTAGCCATGAATACAAACTTTAGCATAAATCTACATTCAATTCACGTCATGTGTTGTGACATCACACAATTAAGATAAGATTCTTGGATTATATCATATTCTATTGGAGTTTTACATATATGAACGGAAGTTATAATTATGCAAGAATTTCACTTGTAATTTTTCGTGTTTTAAGCAAAGGTATATTATTTAACTACGATTTTTCTTATTAAGAAGTCATTCATCCACCAAATATTTTTAATTAAAGGTTAAAAGATCTAACCATCTCATCATTGTTTGTTTGCACAGATATAGCACATTCTTATCCGTTTTCGATCGTGTATTTAAAAAAAGCCATTGTCTTATAGTTTTAAATTGCACAAATAAAACTTTGTGATATTATTCCAAGTTTCACTTATAGAATTTGACATTATACGATTATGGCTATTTTTATAATTACAGGATTAAAAATGGCTATTTGTGAAACTTTCCCGTCCTTTGCCCTTTCATTTTCCTCTAATTTTAAAACCCTCTTTCTCTACAATCTATGATTCCAGTTCCAATCTCCGTCTTTGCTGATCAATTCAAAGAGTTAAAAGCCAAAAGGGCAAAGTGCTTCCTCAGCAGCTGAAGACTATAGCAAGTATAGTGGGTATTTGATTTTGGATTTCCAACATCTGTAATCTTAGTTCTAGGTAAGCTTAAAATTCTGCTTCTGCTATTCCTTTTTTCTTTTCTTTTTCTTTTCAAAAATCATTTCTTTCCCATTTGGGCGGTGTTAGTTTATGAAACAAAGGCTCTATCTTCCTTTTTTCGTACTCTTTTTTAGATGTTGATTTTCTTGGGTATGTGCATGAATTCTTTAAGTGAAAAAGAAGTAGAAATGACACCGGATAGTCAGGCTGCTATTTAGGAATTAGCCACTGTATCCTGATTTGTCTTGAAATTAAGATTTTTGGTTTATAATGTAAGGACTAAAATAGTACTGGCCCTAAATAGCATCCCTAAGAATGGCTGTTTGTGCACCTCTCCCGAAAAAGAACGCTTTGGGGGTAAGAAGGTGGTGTACAAGATGCAGCAACTGATGTTTCTTTTTTGTCATGGGATTGAAAACAGAATTTTACTTTTAAAGAAAAAGAAAAGGAAAAAGACAGCTTAGAAGCTTGATTTTGATCTTAATTTGGTTGACAGAAGCATTTTTGATTTGTTCGAAAGGAGAATGATGAGTCGCTTCAACTAGTTTCCATTGTGTTTATAATTCTCAGGCAAGCTTAGGGTTATGCTAAAAGAAAAAATCTATTAAGCTTATTTAGGCTACTAATTTGAACTTTTTTTAGCTATAGATGTCCGTTGATAAGCGTAATAGAAGCAAATGGTGATTGGGTTCTCGTTCTATTGTTTTAACTTTTCCTTTTGTATAATAAATCTGAATATTCCTCTGTTTTAATGAAGTGCTGCAGCAGTTTGGAGATCTTTGTATTCATGTTTAATTTCTACAGGTTCTTATTGGCGAATTTTTATCTATGATGGCTCCAAAGGGCAAAAAGCATTGTGTTCGAACTTTACCCCCTGATGTACTTAACAATCTTCCTGAGAATATAGTTGATGAAATTCTTATCCGTTTGCCTTTACGAGATGCTGTGAGGACAAGCATCTTGTCGAAGAAATGGAGATATAACTGGTGTAGAATTCCACAGTTGACGCTTGATCAAGCACTTTGGAAAACTAAGAAGGATCTAACATACATTACAAGTAACTTCACAAAGATTATCTACCACATTTTGACCCTTCATGTAGGACCAATTACGAAGTTTACCCTATGCATTCCTAACTTGGAAGGTTGTCCTAATCTTGATAACTTGATGTATTTCCTCTCTAGGAATGTCATTAAACATCTTGTTCTTAGACTTCCGAGGGGTAACCCTTACAAATTGCCTTCTTCATTTTTCGTATGTTTGCAGTTAGGGCATCTGACTCTAAAAAATTGTTTAATACTTCCTCCTCCAACCTTCAAAGGATTTGATAGGTTAACTAGCCTGAAATTATATAACGTTTCAATTTCTTCCAAGTTGCTTGAAAGTTTAATCTCTCATTCCCCGTTACTCGAGCAATTGGTGCTGCAAATCTCAGGTTTAAGTGACATTATTGAAATTAATGCTCCCATGCTGAGATCCTTTGACTTCACAGGCAATATAAGATGTATTTGCTTTAAAAGTATCCCGTTTCTGGCAAAACTTTCACTTACAAAGGAAAATTATGTGGAAGAAAAATGTAATATTGCCAAGTTGTTTGAGCCTCTTATTGCTCTCGAGCATCTCCATCTGAATGACACGGTAAATGTTGCTTCATGACTTTATTGTATTGCATTTTGGTTGATTGTCTTTTGGGCTTTGAGGCATTCTTATTTTTGGCATTTTGTTTTTAGTTCTTTTTTGCAGGAGCAGGTGAAGTACCAACAAGGCTTCCCTTTAATCTTAACTTTGTCAAACATCTTTGCATATCTAGTATTTGTCTGTTTGTCTTGGAAGAGGTTTCATTTGCTCTTTGCTTGCTAAGAAGTTTCCCATGTTTACAATATGTGGAAATTAAGGTTTCCTTCTTTCTCTTTCTTATGTAGTGACTTTCTTTTTTTCGTACTCCTTAAATCATCAATAAGCTCAGGGAGTTGAGATTTGGTTAATCTTTCTTAGGTGGAGGCCGGTGATGGCAATGATATACCTGCCCTAGAATGCCTTGAAGTAGAACAATTCTCAGATGTGTCATTTAATCACCTCAGGGAAGTTAAGCTAATACGGACTAATGGCACAATCCGTGAGATGCAGCTTATGAAGCTTCTGTTAGCCAAGTCTCCAGTGCTGGTGAGAATACTAATCGAGCCATGTCTAGTTGAAGATTCTGCAACTGTCAAAATACTTGCTGAGGTAAAAAAATTTCAGCGTGCTTCACCTAAAGCAGAAGTTGTCTGTAAACTTCAATAAGCATCCATATTACCATCCTTTTTTATCATCTCGATTCTTCAATCGAACCATGATCCTTGGGTAACATGTTTTGGATGCAGTAGTATAACATCATTAACACTGTGTTTTGCCTAATTGCCATAAGGCTGGGAGAAGTCTAAACATATATTATGAAAGCGAATGCGGATGGTTTCTTCAACTTGTCATTACAATGCTTAGTGTTTTTACATTACATGCCTATGCTTGAAATGAAATCTTATGACAAGGAATTTGATGCTGTGATTGTTATTTCAAACTTCAAGGTTTGGTTGTGTTGCAGTGTGTTAATTTTCTTCTTCGTTATATTCCTATAGCATTGCAAGTTTCAAGCCTTCTCAAGTATTCCATTTCTGTAAAGTAGAGCCACGACATTCGTTAAAGAGCATTGCTGTGTATTTTCTTCTTTTTTTTTTCTTTTTTTTTTTTCAAGTAATCAGTATGGTATTTATTAGGAGTAGTTAATTTATTTAATCTCTTTCATTTTGATCTAGTGGTGGCTTGGAGTAGATTCCATGTGAAGCATTCACTTTTGCAGTGAATAACATTTAAACGCTATTTTAGTAAAACAAATGAATTTATTTCCACAGTTTTTTCGACACAGAATTTTAAAAGCAGGACAAGTGGATAACAAAAGGATAATCATTCTTTTCTAGTGAACCAAAACGTTAAGAACAGTAATGGAGAATCGAGAGGTAATTAAATAAGAGCGACAACTAACTTAAGGCAGTGTAAATTGAGTGGTTTACAGGGTTGCACCCACTGATGATTTGTGCAAAAACGAAAGGAGGATTAAGGGTCAAATTACACTCAGAGGGAAACTTCTGTTGTACCTCCAACTGAAGTGTATGGAAGATGGGGTGGCATCGAATTTGAAGATAAGGAAATAGTGTGGCCGCCAATGGTGATTATTGTGAACGCGTGGCTTGAGAAAGATGATTCTGATGATTAGTGGATTGGAATGGGAAATCAGGAGCTGCATGACTATTTCAGCTATTATGCTGTTGTCAAGGCCATCGTGGAATTTTTCCAAGAAAGGGAGACAAACACAATCCAGTTTGCTTTTGTTCTAGGGGATGATATTTTATATTTGAATGCCAGTGTCCAATCTTTCACAGATTAAAGAATGATTTGGTTCTTTTATGTGTTCCTTATACTACTGTTGCGGAACAAAATGCAGAAAGTAAAGAACACAAGTATTGTTACGTGAAAAACACCTTACTCAAAAGGTAAAAAAACCCCGACCTACTACACAGTAGGATTTTTACCAACACTTCACTAAATCACCGAGCCAAAAATAGCGTTTACAAAACTCTTGTAAACCTAAGGATTACCTCTAACCCTTTGTGGCAACCAACCTCAGGTTGTTAGCGACAATTTCAAGTTAATTCTAACTTGAACAATACACTCAGAATACCTAGTACAAATTCTTCTAAAGAAAGCTGAAAGGTACAACTCAAAAGCCCTACTACAATGAAACTAGAATAAAATACAGACACTTGGAGCTGGTTCTTCTATCTGGTTCATGTAGCTTCAGGTTCGCACACTTGAATCACACATGAATTGCTTGCAAAATGCCTTACTATTTTGCTCTCAACTCTCGTTTAACTTCAGTGTTTGTGCGTACTTGTAAAATGAGAACATCTTGAAATATATAGAGTTAGTAGAATAAGAAATAATTAGAGTTCTAATGATATACTCTTCCTTGGTGGAAGAGTTCTAGTTATTTTTAACTTCTAACTCTTCCCTTATCTAGGATAAAATTCTCTTCGGGTAAGGAGTCCTTTTCCTTATCAATTATGCAACCTTTTCGTTCAGGAGATATCAGATATAACCACTCAAGCTTATCTCCTTCACGTGCATGCCTTGTGCTTGAATCTGCTCGTGTCTGTGTATATTGTGTATGAACCTGGTTCATGCTTGAGTTCCTTTGTCAATCATCAAAACAAACTTAGGCCAACAAATTCTCCCTTTTTGATGATGACAAACTCTATGCTTTTCATAAGCATGAGACTTATTTCAACTCAGCTCAATATCAACACAATGTTAGAACATTTTTTATTTTAAAGTCACAAATCATCAAGGACTAGATTCATTAGGTTATAAACATCACAGTCCAAAGTAAAAAGCACAACCCTCTTTTGGCATCATCGAAAAGTTGCATAATTATGTTAGATAACCAGATTTTATTAGATCTTACTCATGGCCACTGGGGCTACTTCAAATGCAATCATGGATTCAATTTTTTCTTTATCAATCTAAGGATATTAGCCATCTAAGAAACATCAACAAATAATTAGAGCAAAAGCAGTTGATTATCATTGATAAGAGTCATCCACAAAACATAAAAGGAAATAACAGTACTGCACTATGAGCAAAAAGAACAAAAAAAAAAGAAGAAGAAATATCCCATTCGGGTCACTGATTTTCTAACTAGGTTAGGAAGGGTTTAAGGTTAGAAAGGACCAGGTTCTTGGTTTCTGGCCTGAAGCAGTTTCAACATGTCATGAAGAATCCCTTCATTCTTCTCTTTTTCCTTTGCAAGCTCAGTCCTGAGAGCATCCCTCTCAATTTCTACTTCAGTCAGCCTCTCAATCTCAGCATCCTTAGCCCCACCCTCCTGCACCAAGGCTTTCACTTTGGTATTCACAGACACCTTCTTGGATGAATCAGGTTCTTTGGGAGCAGTATGGACTTTATAGTCACATACAGTCAAGATGTTGGCCCCAAAGTGATCTTTGCTTTTGCTAACATCCCATTTCTTGATGGGTACCTTGAAGTGAGCACGCACAACATTGAGAATTAATCCATAGGGTGTGGCATGAGTTTTGGTGCCAGTTAAAACCCTATCAAGGAGCTGGATGATAAACCCCGGCCAATTGATCTGCCTCCCGCTATCCAGACACTCCATAAGGACCAGGTCCATGAATGTGGAAATGTGCCTTCTTTCCTGCCTGGGCAACATAACTTTGTTGCAAGGGAGGTCGGTATATTTTCTAGGCTTGGCCATTTCAGCTTTTTGTAATCATTGTACCCTTCAGCAAGTACTCCCAGAATCTCTCCCAATTCCTTGTCGTCAAAGCTCACAGTCACCCCTTTACCATACTGGTGACCCTGTCATTCTTAATTTCACAATTTGCCATGAACTCTACATTCTCAGCATCCCCCTTTGTCTTCCTTCGATCTGAAGGACCATGACCTTCTAACCCTGAAGTTGTAGTTTCTCCAACAACATCACCATTCCTTCCTCCTCCAAGTCCCTGACAAGTCTACCCTTTAAGATAGTTCTTTTGCCAAACTTCACCATCTTGTCCTGCTCTTTATCAGTTTCCTCTTCTTCTTCACTTTCCTCTTCCTCCACTACTTGCACTTTCCTAGATTTTCTGGCATACCTGATTCTTTTTGCCAAGGTAGAAGGCTCTGCATCAACAGTCTTTGAATGAGACTTTTTTTGGGAAGTCTTTCTTTTCTTTGCCTTTGGAGTCACAACCTCCACCTCCCCTGTCTTGTTTTCATCATGAAGAACCAGGTCCATCTCCCCAATTTCAATTGCCTCAACAAGCTCACTCACTTTTTTATTTTCCTTTGCATCAACTTTTCTTTTACTCTCTTCTAAGGTTGTTTCCAGTTCAGCCTCACTCTGCTTCTTCTGACTCCTTGTAGCTCTTCCTCTAGTAGAAAGAGTCTCTACAGGGATAGAAGAGACAACTTTTCTCTTCTTGTTTGCCCTAGCAGTTCCAGGGATTTTATCTCCTGAACTTTTCTTCTTTTTCGGATTGTAGCTGTCAGACACTCGTTTCAGTAGGTATTCGAGTGGTTCCTGCACAGATGGAACAGGTTCTTGAAAACTCTTCCTCAACCTAACCAGCCCCTCATCTGCACTTGCATCACCAGACCCACTACCCCCTTCTTCTCTCCAACTTTTTTCCTCCTCAACAGGTTCCTCATTCCACAACACCATAGCCCATGCTTCCTCATTCAACCCAGTAGGAGTAGGTGAAGATTCAACTACTACTTCTTTTTCCTTTCCCCTCATATCACCTCGAGCACACTCACTCTCTTTTTCTTTTTATTTTCTATTTTTACCACCAATTTTTCTCGATTCAGTGGTCTCTACCCCAGCAATAGTGCCAACCAGAATAAATATGTTCTCCAAATTCTCAGCAACTCTAGAAATTATCTCAGACATAATATTAGGACCAGATGTTACCTGCTCTGTTTCAGATGAAACAATTTCTTCCCCCTCAATCGCAGATTAAATGATTCTTCAGATTTTTGGGGTTCTTCTACCTGACTTTCTCTCAATTGCTCATTTATTTTCTTAATTTGTTCTCCCCCAATGACTACTTTACGAGCAAGCATCTTGAACCTTCCTTTCTTAGAGATATGTGTGATTGAATGTGTGATAGATGGTGTAGGTGATGATTCTTTGGGTGGTAAAGAAGGGTTTGCCATTGATATGTGTAGGTGTGTGTGTAGAAGAGATGCGAGAGGATAGAGAGAATTGTTTGGCGGCTGGAAAATTAGAAGTGAGCAAATGGGTAAAGCCAAATCAATTTAAAGGGGAGATTTTAAGTGGGTAACAGTAGATTTTTAGAAGTTCAGAAGTCTAATCAAACTAGGAAAGTTAGTTTGAAAAGACGTTGGAGTCTTTCCTACAATCTAGGCAATTATGGCGCGTGGGACTCCTTTTGGTGAAACTGGTTCGTTTGTAATGGATAAGCTTTGAGGGGATTGGGAAAAACCTATTCTAATTATTTACAAAATTCACAAATTATCTAACCAAATATTGAGTTAGAACTGGTTCCTTTTAGGTGATCTTAATCATCCCTAATTCT